AGCCAAGTTGCTCGAGGGCTATCTGCACTAGTCGGCTTTAATTTAGTACTAATAGCTGTCGTTCTTTATTAAGCACAAAGCTACAAAAAAGGGCTATATTTGCTCTGCCCACCATGGGCATCGAAACCCGGTTTCTAGCAGTACAAATCCACAGACATACAGCTGCGCCACTGGAGGGACTAGAAATGATAGAACAGAAGGTTGGTAGCTAGTCAACACCATCCACGGCCAACTCCTGGGCTACTACCAAATTTCCAATGATAGTAAGTTTAATTTCCAAGTGGAGGCAGAGGCTGATTTTAACACTAGGAGGTTACATTTTAGTTGTCAAGAATTTAAATAAAGAAACGACAGAACTACTATGTGTACGAAAATAATGACCTTAGTATGTTTTAACGATTCAGCCAGTTGAGTGCTCGTGTGCTCGTGAGGTTCATTTTCCCGTGGTGGACAGAGCGCAAATTGCCTGATGTATAGCTTTGCGCTAAAATAATCAAGAACAAAGACTATTAAACACTTTTAAATTTGATATGTAGGAAAATCGTGAAACAGAATAAAAGAAATTTATTATTAATAATAATCACTTTAAACAGGAAGACTGACCAACTTTTATTTGTTATGATTTTAACTTGAACAGGAGAATAAAAATGTATTCTTTTTGTAATCAGATTAGACCTACCTGGTGGTTAGGGAGTTCGGCTCGCAATCTGCGGATCGCAAAGTCGTGCGTTATAATATGACAGTCAATCCATTATTTGTTGGAAAATATCAACTGTTCCAATAAATGTTATTACGTCACAAGCACCTGTACATTTAAGTGCGTGGGAAACGTGCTCACAATTGGTCAGGTCATATAGTAGACACACTGAATTGCCTAAACCAAAGGTTCCATCAAGTCCTGCCCCCCTCTCCATAACACAGCGATAAGTCTGAGGGCTTATTACGATAAAAATCCTACCGAGATACCAGCCGTGGGCAGAGCAAATACAGCCTACAGTGTAGCTTTGTGCTTAACAACAAAAACACACCATCAACTCCCACAAGCGGTAAATACATTATTATTTTTTAAACCAAATGACGAAATCATGAATATGAGGGAATTGTCCGAACCATTCCTCATAACTTCGGACTAATATTACAAAGTATGTCATTGAGGAATGTTAAAGCACCTTACAAAGTTCCCGGAACCATCTGTCAACTGGAATAAAAAATAAATAAAAAAAACCTTAAGAATACCTCTAAACACCTTCAAAAAAAATGGAGGGGGCAGAAACTGGCAACCATTACTTTACTACGATTTTGATTTATTATATTATTTAGTTACCAGCTCTGGTTTAGCCATTTCACGAGCTATTTCTAGTGGTAGTGGCCTTCGAACATTGTGATATCCAGTGGGTCTAAGTAGCCAGGGTTTTGATGAAAAGAGGAAAAAAAATTCAAATATCCAAATAACTAAAGAAAGAGCATTGAAAAAAAGTTCAGCTAATGAACAATCTAATAATGGCTGGAGACGGCTTGAATGGGTAATGAAGTAAAACTTTAATATAACAGCAAAAGT